AATATGCCAGGGTCCTGACCTCGGACTGCACACTCCAGAACCAGGAGAGATAAATTTATATTATTTACAAGGTACCTAACATGCAATTCTGTAATAGTAGCCTGAATCTAGACACCCATGTTTTTTTATTAACAAATGGATACATGACCAGTTATTAGAGACAGGCAGGCTATAAAGAGGGTAAAACAAACTCCAAGGATTTTAAACAAGTGCTTCCTACAAAATGCTAGCAGGTAGCATCTTTTAAAGGAAACCTATAGAAAAAGTGTTCATTGGTTAGAATACACAAGACATAGATTTGTAAATTATACATGCTCTAAGATTCCAGAATTTAGCTCACTTCTGCTGCTTAACAAAATAATTTTAAGTTGATTTACAATTTTTTTAGATTTATTTATTTATTATTTATACAGTATTCTGCCTGCATGTGTGCCTTCAGGCCAGAAGCACAGATCTCATTATAGATGACTGTGAGCCACCATGTGGTTGCTGGGAGTTGAACTCAGGACCTTTGGAAGAACAGCCAGTGCTCTGAACCTCTGAGCCACCTCTCCAGCTCTGATTTGCAATTTTTAAATTTTTTTTTCTTTTTAACCAGAGTGCCTATGTAGGCCAGGCAGCCCTTGGCATAGGCTGCCCTTGGCAGCCTCCTGAGTGCGAGGTCTATCAGTGTTCATCTTCACCCTCTCAGAGTGAGACCATGCTTCATGGACCCGTCAATGAGTTTGTGCTCGAAGACCCCATACTGGAATCCTATCAGGAGCACAGGCCCTTGCCTTTAGAGTTTACAGTAACCTCAATGTTCCGGAAAAGTCTCTCTGGCTGGGTACATAAACTGGAACGGGGAGAAATGAGCTGGCAGGCCCTATACCATCCAGACATGGAAAAGCAGATGGGAGATCAAGAGGCAATTCCCAGTCGCTTTCTCTAGGCTAGAGCCGGCTCCTGCGTAACACTAAACACTTGCCGACTTTTATCACCTGAGCGCTGGGGACAGGCATGTGCCAGTACTTTCCTCCTCTGCTGGCCATCCTCACACAGCATAACCCACCAAGAGCCCAGATGGACTTAGCAAGTGTTATTACAAAGCCACAACTTCTCTGCACCTCAGTTCCTTCATTTACGTGATTGAGAATGAAGTAGATAACATGTCAAGTGCTTCATGCTGACCCTGGCCCGCGACGGGCATGTAACAGCCACCAACTATAATTTAACACTGTGCTTGTCACCCTATAGGACAGCTTGACTCTCGATCTGGATAAGGCCACAGCAGGAGGACGCTCCTCTGTGGCGGTGGAAAGTCAAGCAGGAACCCACAGGCAGTGGGGCGGGGGAACAGGCTTCGTGTTTGTCTGGAAAGTAACTGCCATAACTGTCCCACATTATGACTTGATTTTTTCCATGGTTTGTTGGGTTTTCCATTTACTCTATAGCCCAAACAGGGAAACCCAAACTGCAACAACCTGACTGACTGCTTCCTAAATTTAAATCTCAAATTCTCTCACCTTGATTACAGTGTCTGGTATCATTCCTTTTTCACTTGTTAAATGCAATTATTATTATTATTAGTCTCCAGATGGGTTCTCAAACATTTCCTTTAAATAGTTGTTGGATAATCATACTTGGTCAGTTCCAAAAAAATGAGCCTGGAAAATACTGGCAAATAACACGGGTTAAGGAGGTTATGCAAGGTGCATGACACCAACAGTTGAATGATTTGTTGAGAGCAACAAGTGTTTATAGAAGTCCACTAGGGTTAAGGAGCTGCAGAGGCTAATGAAAGGCTTCTCTGGAGGGGCTTCCAGAGTTGTGGAGAAATGATTAATAATACAGGATAACGGCCGGATGGATGGCTCAGCAGGAGAGTGCTTGCCTGGCAAGCATGGGGAGCGAGTTTGGTGCTCAGAACAAATGTGAAAGGAAGAAAGGAGCATGGTGGCACAGCCCTGGAGTGCCAGCTGTGGGGGCATAAGGCGCTGTGCAGATGGGCACAACCCGGGGCTCACCAGCCAGCTAGCACAGCAGGATGAGCTGAGTGCAGGCCAGTGACAGGCCCTACCTCAGGAAAGGGGAAAAGGTGGCAGCAGCTACAGAATGGCACCTGAGGTTGGGTTTTGCCCTCACAATGCAGACATTTGTATCTATCCACCCATGAACACACACACACACACACACACACACACACACACACACACAGAAACTAGGAGAAAATGTTTATAGGCAGCTGAGCTATTGTTTGTCATTTCCTCTGAGCCTTACTTTCGTCATTAACGAAACAGAGAGCAGTCTCACTATTCTTGACTGACACTAGGAAGATTAAGTGAAGAAATCCCCGAAAAGTACTTACACATTTGCTAGCAAAGCAGCTGGTAAAAGGTGAGAAGTGCTTTTCAAATAATTTACAAACTAAACTTCGACATGATTTAAATGCCTGCCCAATGCCAACCATTCAGAGCCTGTGCCTCAGGGCTTGAGCATGAGAAGGCAGGGCAGGGTCTTTACTTGGGTTCCTGAGGGTAACTGGATAGAAGAAAAGATAGGGTGTTTGTTTGTTCTGTTTTTTAGACATAATCTTTGGGTTTGTGGGAAATAGTTATCAATTAACCTGGAGACAAGTGACGTTGAAGAACCTGCGAGTCAAACGTTCTAAGCGAGCGGCACTGTGCAAGTGCCTGACTTTTCCCAGGGTGCTGTCTGCGGTCTGTGACCACGCCTTGTTTAACTGCGGTGATAAGCACTCAGGGACCCTCAGCTGAACTCGTGGGACTTTGGACTTTGCAGAGGTGAACAAGCTTCACCATCTATTGCTAACGTCGGTGACTGTGCCAGGAGATCATTTTTCCAGCTTGCTTTGCACTGAAAGTCTGCCCACAACAGGTATCGTTAAAGTGTTAGAGCTCCCAGAAGACAGGCCACTTAAAAAAGACATGTGTTCCTGATTGGCTTTACCAGCTTAAGTACAGATACATAAGGAAATCACACATGTCCACACATAAAACTGAAACATTGAGCTGAGAAGGCATCATTTTAGTTGTGTCACAAAAAAAGGAGCTTTTCGGGGTTTTCTGTTTGCAGCACCCCAGTGAGAGGCCTGAAGCAGATAATAACACGCACTCTGCAAGGATGCTTTATGTGTGAGCGTGCAGATGCAACAGCTCCTGGCCTCCGTTCCCACCCGGCCCTTCATACTCTCTCCCAGGTTCTCCTTCCCACATTACTTCGAAGGAAATTCTAGACATTATATAATTTTACTTGTAAACATTACCACACCTATAAAACAAGTGATAAGTCATGACACCAAATTGGCAATGTTCCGATTTCCAAATGTCTCATAATACCATAATTTAAAAAAAAAAATCTGAATCCTGGGGCTGGAGAGAGTGATGATGGCTCAGCAGTTAAGAGTACTTTCTGCTCTTGCTGAGGACTCAGCACAACCATCATCTGTGGCCCCCGTTCCAGAAGATCTGAGACTCTTTCTGACCTCTGCCAGCACCAGTCATATCCATGGTACATATACACACATGCAGGCAAAACACCAACACACAGAAAAGAATCTAAACAAACCAAAAATAGGATCCAAATAAAACTCACTCTTTGCAGCTGATGGCTATGTCTCCTGTTCTCCTTGTTCTAGAACCCTCCTCCAGCTCTTGTCCTCTTGCAACTAGTGTTTTCAAGAAACTTAGTTGCTTGTCCTAAAAGTTCCTCCCCTTAGGATTTTGTTGTCTGTATCCTGAGGTAGCATTTAACTTCTGTACTCTATCTCCTAGGGATTAGTAGTTGGAAACCTGAGCCACAATGTAAGATTTCAAAGTGTTTTCCTTGGCTTTAATCTCCTTTCATTCATTCAACTTCTACTTAATATTTACTACCTGTTTAATCTCTGCAGGTTGCTATGGAAACAAAATACAAACACAATTACAATCATTGTGTTTGGTGTTTTTTTTGTTTGGTTGTTTTTTTTTTTTTTTTTTTTTTTGGTGTAAAAGTTTAAAATCACTGTCAAGGCAGTCCCAAGTAGCAGCAGCCTCTAAAACACTACAAAGCCTCCATAAACTAGCGCATTTCTTCACGTAAACCTCAGCTCATCCTTCCACACACAACAGTGTTTCTTTTACCCACAGTTTCCCTGACCATATTGAGTCTTGTAGTAGGGCCACAACCAAACACTATTCGAAGATAGCAAACACACACACACACACACACACACACACACACACACACACGTCACATGCACACTCGCATACATACCTCCCTATAAAAAGTGTTTCTCTTGACTTCCAGATGATAGGCAAATTAATCTTGCAGGCCGACGAGAGGCTGACGCACGTGGAAGGCATGCAAGCATTTCTGCAGAGAATCTGTCAGACATAGAAAGGAGGCCCTCTTGCTTTGCTTTCCCATCTGTCTATGCTCTATCATCCCAGGAAATAGTTCTATTTTATATGGAGACAATCAGGGCAGGAAGATGTCAAACTTTCCCAGAACTATACAGCTCATTATATATGAAGTGAGGGCTCCTAGCTCCCAAACTCAGCATTCTTTTCTTTATATCATGCTGTAATTAAAATGCCAGAACACTGCAGAAGGGGGAAAAGGTTTAATACATTTTTTAAAGCCTATAAAGTAGAATGTAAAAATGATAGCATAATTTTTCAAGCTGATGAAACAGTTGTGAAATTAGAATTTAGATGCAATTTATGATAACTGTAGGAAAAACAGTATGAAAAAAGAACACATATGTGAGAAAAACTTAAGGTAAACTAAATAGTTAGCTTTTTTTTTTTTTTTTTTTTCTCCTGAGACAGGGTTTCTCTGTGTAGCCCTGGCTGCTCTGGACTTGCCTTGTAGACCAGCCTACCCTCTGACCCACAGAGGTCCACCTGCCTCTGCCTCCCAAGTGTTTGTATTTTATGCACGTGTGCATGTTCATGGAGGCCAGAGGTTTATCCCAGTCCCATCCTCAACTGCCTCTCTGGGACAGTCTCCCACCAGGTCTCTCAGCTGGCTGGCTGGCCAGAGAGTGCCAAGGATCCTGTAGCCCAAAGAGAAGGAGCAGGGAAGCAGAGATAGCACAGCATGTTTCAGCAAACCTGAAATAAAATACATTTAAACATGAACTGGGGGTAGCTGGCTATCCTGAGTCTCTGAGTCTCTGAGTCTCACTAAGTACTTCATATCATTTTCCTTGAAACTAAAGGAGATTCGCTTGATTTTCACCTGAAGCTCTCTCCAGGTGTATTTTTAATAGTGTATAATAGTGTGTAGGTGTTCTCAAAGCCCCACAGCAGCTCACCATGAACAGTAACTGGAACCACATACTGAAGGGGACCAGTGAAGAACAATTACAGACTTTCATTTTCCTTGTACACTTCAGGGGAATTCACAGCAGAGTATCTTGAATGAAAAGCAACATGGAAGAGAGAGCTCATTTTCCCCTTTGGAAAATGAAATGGCAGACTGGCTACCTCGTGGCTATTCCTTATGGATTATTTAATCAAAAATAAAAATATTTCAGTGAGTAAAGAGAACAATTATACGTGTGTGTTATATTTATCCTCAACTCACAGGACCTTTAACGCATTTGCTTCTTTGCTGATTCAGCAAATATCTGCAATGCTCCCAGGACATTGCCAAATACCACACGAGGCTCCGGGGAACAGTGAACTCCCTGTTCGCGTAGGTTTTCAGGGAGGAGAGAAACCAATAAATAAATATGTAGACTATAGAACGTTAGCACACAATTTAGAACGCCAGGACTGTGGGAGGTGACTGACAAGCTCTGGGGCCAGACTGGAGCTCATCCTCGGCCTTGCTGTTTGTTTCCTTATTCCTCACAGGTTGTACGCTCAGACAGACGCCTTCCCCGACGACTCAAAGCCGGGCCTCTTGGACTCAGTTCTCTCCAGGCTCGCTTTGGACAGTCATAAATCATGCGGCCCTCAACCCAACTCTAGCTCAGGTCAGTTCCCTCCCCTTGGGCCCCAGGCCGGTCTGGCCCCGTCGCTCCTGCCAGGCTGAGAGCCCTGCCGGGGAGGCCGGGCCAGGCTGGGTGTGGCGCCCCGACCCAGCCGCTTCACTTTTTTTTCCTGACACAGGACGCTGGTGCAGGGAGTCCGAGAACTTGGTAGCGTACACAGTTTTGAGCATGAGAAAACAAACCCAAGGAAGAAAACAGCGAGGGGGACGGCGGCCGAGAGCTTCTATCTCAGGGGTAGGCCGCGCGCACGCCAAAGCCACAGCCGCGGCTCCGCGGGACGGC